TTTAAAAAATCTATTAATCAAAAAGAATTGCAGACTTCCCAAGAGAAAATTATAGAGTAAAAAAGAACCATTTGTCTCTCCATCCTCCTCTCTCAGTGTCCCTTCCTCTCTTACATTGCTGTTGTGTCAGAACCAACTAAACAGGTGATTTTGTTAGGTTTCTGAATCTATAAATCACATGGAAGAGGATTGTGCAGCTTTTTCTTGAGGAGTTGCTTATGAATTTGAACTGACGGAGTTGCACAGCCTTTTAGTGAGCATCGCAACCCTCTAGAGACTACACTGCCGGGTTGCGGGGGCGGGGGAGGAGGGTGGTAATACAAAGAACTGTCTAGCTTTTGACACTTCTCCTCTTCAGTAATGAGAAAAGTACAAATTAAAACAATATCGAAGCAGTATTTAAACTTCATAATACTTTAGAAAGTTAAAAAGAGGCAAGAAATGTGGTTAAAATAAAGAAAAGTGGTTATGTACAAATGAAGGGAGAATGGAGAAGCTCAGACAGTGGGGGAAAAATGGCTAACTGCTTGCTGACTCAGAAGAATTGAATATACAAGAACCTGGAACTAACTCTGTGTGTGTGTGTGTGTGTGTGTGTGTGTGTGTGTGTGTGTGTGTGAATTGATGTTAGTAAAAGGGAGAAGACACATAAAGTGACTGAATGCATGAACACATCAGATACATCAATTAGATACTACAAGGAGAAAAGAATGACAGGATTCAGATCATAAAATATCCCAAGATATCTCTACACATTTAGATTAATTTTTCCCTGGTACCTAAAATGAGAATATAATGCTGTAACTATTCTTGAATTAGGAACTAGCGTTTGAAATCCTCTTAAGTTTCAAATACTTTGCTCAAAATAAAATGATTTGTTTTTCGGAGTCTTCTCACAGAGTTCTCCAGTGAACGACTCATTTGGATGTCATCTCGTTTGACTATCAAGAAACACTTCCCAGAGATTACATTTTCCCTAGAGAGAAAACTATCCACATATAGGTTCTGGGAATTTATAAAGTTAACATGGTTTTTCCAGAGGGATAGTTGTGTGCTTAGGTGTTTAATCCTTGCCCAGTCCTATTGACTTCACCTTTATGTCTCCTGAGGGAGCGAGGGATCTTTCAGATATGATGAGCCTCTTAAGCACTGTTACAAAGCAATGCTAACTGCCCACTTGACTCTGGAGTCCTCAATGCTCACAGGCAAATACTGTCAAATTGTCTATGAAGACTGGTTAAAAGGCTGCAGTGGAAAATGATCACATGAGAATTTACAGCTAGCAATAGTCCTATTTTTATCATTTACCATGAACTGGGGATAAGAAGAAGATAGATCAGGTGAGCATGTAAGAGGAAAAGCAGGTTTGTGAATGTGTAATTACACATTTCCAAGATAAATATAAAAGGATATTTGAGGAAAAATGCATCTAAGTATTGAATTATTATCTCATTATTTATGTAAACACTTTGGCATTCCTGCCACGGAGATGTTTCTAGTCGTGTAACTCATACAAGAAACAGTTTTGAAGAATGTACTCTAAGAAGGTAATTTAAGTCAATGGAAGTTAGTATTGATTGATAATCTAAGGAAGAACACAAGTGTGGATAACAAATACAATTTGTAAAATTCTTAAGAGACTATAAGTGATATGCAAAAACATCTGATCTCTCCTCAGATTTTATTGAAAATTTACTGAATTTTTTAGTACTTTCATTTTGGTGCTCTTGGTTTGATGGAGGAGACTGACAGAGAAACAGACATGAAGCATATGGTAAGATCTCTAAAAGAATTACAATTTTGGTTACTTCACTGAACTATTAGAATGATGCTGGTTTTTTTTTCCTTAGTTGAATTTGAAAAAAGAGTTTTGTGAGATTCTTGTTTGAGCAATCATGATTATTATTTTTAGTAATATATTGATTTAGAATATAAAGTGTCTTTTAAAAAGATAAAAAGGAAGATACCACAATATTCCTATGTTGTTGTATAGCATGGAGTGAAAGCCAACCTATAGCTGACCTTCCAGCAGCTTTTCAGAGGCAGTAAATTATATGGGAGAGGATTGCCCATCTTTCTCTCATGGAGCAGCTGGTGGATTTGAACCATATGCTTTTGGGATTGCAACACAGCTTCTTACCACTAGGCCACCAGAGCTCCTATGGCATCTCATACAATCACCAGTTCTGAAGTAGCAGGTGCCAGCTGAGGGGTCATATGATTCAGAAACACGTTAAGCAATAGTGTCCATACGAAGTTAGAGAGGTCTGGGAAGATCCTCTGAGTGTTTTAGCAGAGTATTTGCAGAAAGTAGTATAATAAATAATCTTATCATAAACCATATTTTTTATTTTTTATTTTTTTTAGCAAATCTACTAAAAGCAAACTAGAGAAAAAAAAAAAACAGAGAAAGGATGACTGAACAAGCTGATCACACTGTTGGGGGTTGAGGGAAGTGGTGATGTTCTTTTGATTGAGAAAGAAACTTATTGCTAACCCTTGGGCGGGTTTTCAGAGGCAGTGTAGTTCTTTTCAATTCCCTTTATGGTCCATATTCCATGACCTTCAAAGAAATATTCTTCGGGAGGTATTATTTGGCTTCATTTACCATGATAGAGATTAGGTATGTTGCCATTTTGTAATAAAATTTAGTAAACACTAAAAAAGATAACTTTAAACCTTTACTTATCTTTATCAGGATAGTTATACTTCTTTGTAATTCTTAGTAACATGTTTTGATAAAATTTATACATACATATCTAGGTGTCTTATTTTGCTTCTGGCATTCCTAGTTTTTTTTCCCTATCAGTGAGCAACACTTTTTAAAAATCATCCTCTGTTTAATTCTGTCATTAAGTAGGTAAGAAAATGCGACCTGACAAATCAAGTGTCCTGGTTGATAACCACAATTTCTAGATCTTCAAAAATGCAGAAATTTACAAGATACTTTAAAAATCCATTTTGAATTTTTGAATATTCAATACTCAAAAATACAAGTTTTATCTTACATTCTTATATCTATGCAGAGGTATGGATCATATCTCTTACATAGAAATTTCCAAAATTCTAACTTTCTGCATTTTAGCTAAATTTTAGCTTTGAAATTCTAGGAAATATTTAATATCTTATTTGATATTTTTAATTTCTTACAATGAAACAACTCATATGCTTTCTCACATACACCAAGGATAACATATGTTTAATGGAGGAAGTGCATACTATCACAAGAAAGTTATTTTCATTACAGATATTATTTGGACATCCAGATGAGGAAATATTCTTGGTTTTCCCTTTTCTTTAAAAAAGTATTATTTGGTTTCTCAAAACAAACATTCTTAACTACATAAGCTAAATTACTGTTTAGCTTTAAGATGACTCCAAGGTCTAGTGTCTAATTAGTGTCAAATTAAATATGAGGCTTTAGCACTGGGGAGTCATCCAGTCACGATAAAAACAGTAAGTCGGATTCCATAATGTGAAATTCTGTTCCATATTTTTCCTTTTTGATCCAAATTGTTCTATGAATTTTTTATTAGATGTTCAATAAACCATCATTAGACTTTCTGGTCTTTTGACAAAGAAATTGTTCAAGGAAGCAATTGAACATTCCAGTTTCTGAAAAAGAGGTATTTTCACTGGAGAGACTTATATCACTACTTTTTAAGCTTTCATACTCTTGTTAAGAGATCAAGAATCAAGAAGTTTGGAAAATTTAGAATCAAGAGAAGAATGTTTTGAATAATGGGGTGTATAGTACAACATTATGACACTAAGAAGATATTGCATTCTAGAAAATATTAGAAGTGGTTACCAAAAGAAATGATAAAATAAGAACTAGAGTCAGAGAAGCTGTTTCTGCTGCTGATAACCAAAGGGCTGGATTGTAGTTATTTTGTTATTCATTGCAATTAGGAAGGATGAATATTATTAGAGCAATAGGCAAACCTGAGTTACAGTTGACACTCAGTCAGGTCTTTCTTGATAGTCTTATACCATCTCATTGATAGCTAATGTGCTTATTTGTGGTGTTTTAGATAAATTTCAAAGACAAAGGAATAAAATCTTATGAATTTCCTCACCCTTGTTTTCAACTGTATTTTCACTGTTTACTGAATGATTTTTATGATCCTATTCATCTAGTGGCTTAACGATAAGAAGCATCACTGCAATCCCAGAGGCCTTCATTTTAAATCCTTTAGCTGCTCTATGGGAGAAGGGCAATCTCCTCCCATGTGAAAACCTACTAGAGAGTCAGCTATGGATCAGACTCAAGGCCTACAAAAACGTCATTCATGTTGACAAGATCCCTTCCATGCAATTAACTGCCTCTGAAAACCTGCAAGAAAGTTAGCTATGTGTCCGTTCTGATCTGATGGTACACACCACCACCAACCAGCATCAAAGTATCTTATTCTAAACATCAATTGTTGTAGCTGTTCTGATTAAGAGTATAAAAATGATAAGTACATTAAATTTTATTTATTTTTATGTGTAAGTATATAATGTCTGTGTCTTCACAAATTATTTCAATTTCCTTAAGAACAGAAGTTTTGACTGGGGTTAGTTGGTTTTTTTTGGGGTTTTTTTTTTTCCCTATGGGAGAGAAAATGTCTTTTTTTTTTCTAAAAGAAATTTTAAATCCTGTATCCAAGAAGATCTTAAGCACAGATATGAAGGCATTTAATTTGTAACTGCACCTATTATATGAATTAAAAATGACAGAGAAGAACTGAATTAAATTAATGAAATAGGAAAAATAAACAAAAAACCAATCTTCTGATTTATAGATACATATATTTGGCCTATGGTCAGTGAAGTGAATTACTCAAGTATTAATGGAGGCTTAAGGAAAGAGACATTTTCAAACAGAATATCATAGTGCACATCAGGAATTCCTTCATACAGAACTATGGAAGAGTCAATCTGTCATTCTGCATTTTGCTCATGGAAGATTTACCTCGCCATGTCGTAACTGATCAAACAACCTCTCCACTTTTAATATGGCAGACAATATTACACATCACTTTATCACATCTTTCTTCCTTATTGGCATTCCTGGTTTGCAAGATTTTCACTGCTGGATTGGCATTCCTGTCTGCCTCCTGTATGCCCTCACCCTTCTTGGAAACAGTATAATCATTGTTACCATCAAACTAGATCCAAGCCTCCACCAACCTATGTATTTCTTCCTTTGCATGCTAGCGATGAATGACATGGCCCTTGCATCTTCTACAGCTCCCAAGATGCTTGGTATTTTCTGGTTTGATGCTCACTGGTTTGAATTTAATATTTGCCTTGCACAAATGTATTTCATCCATACATTCTGCATATTTGAGTCAGCTCTACTAGTTTCCATGGCCTTTGACCGCTATGTAGCAATTTGCATCCCATTACGTTATGCAACTATTCTCACAACACCAATGGTAATCAGGATAGGGCTAGCTGGAATGGTCCGAGCTATCCTTATGGTTCTTCCATGTCCTCTTCTAATTAAGAGACTACCATATTATACTAAATATATCATCAATCATGCATATTGTGAACATATGGCTATAGTGAAGTTAGCCAGTGCCAATACTCTCATTAATAGAGCTTATGGTATCTCTGTGGCACTTTCAGTGATGACACTGGACCTAGGACTTATAGCCACATCCTATATCAAAATCTTGCAGGCAGTCTTTCGTCTCTCTTCCAAGAATGCTCGCTCTAAAGCGCTGGGCACCTGTGCTGCTCATATCTGCACTATACTTGTTTCTTACACACCTGCACTGTTTAGTTTCCTAACTCATCGCATTGGGAAGAAAGTACCCCCAAGTGTCCATATAATTTTTGCAAGTGTGTACCTTTTGGTGCCCCCCGCAGTCAATCCCCTGGTCTATGGTGTCAAGACCAAGCAGATTCGTGACCGTGTGCTTGGTCTCTTCTTCCCAAATAGAAAGATTTTGGAAAATTAAAAATATTACACAAATATTTCATTAGTAGCCTACATTGATAAAGTTGTTTCATGATTCACAATAATATTCATAGCCTTGCCCATTTAATTTTAATTTTGCAATTAAATGATATCTTATGTAAATGACATATGGTGTTATCTATTTTCTTCTACCACTTCTCATTTTTACACTTTTATTTGCTTTAGAAATAAAATAATACTTCAATGAACACAAGCAATCATTGTTATTTATTATTTATAGAAGAATTTAAGTTTCTGTATAATTGCTGTCTTATTATATGCATAAAGATTGTGATAATGCAAAAACTTACAGTACATTGAACAATGCAACTTACACAGTTTTTTCCTATTCAAATGACTTGCAGTGCAGTTTCAAATTCTTGAGTAAAAAAATTGGTTTCCTCCCATAGTTATTAAAATATTAAATATTTTTATTATTAAAATAATTGTAATAACTTAACATTCAAATAATAACTATGAATGGCCTTTAATTTATTGTCACTGATTTAAGCCCTTTGGTACCAAATTATATCTTACTTTGAATTTTTTGGTTGTTATCATGTATTTTCAGCAATAAAAGGCATGCTGACCTAAATTAGAAATGTTAAAGAAATATGAATTTTGATTCAGTTAAGTAGGGCATAGTGTTGCCATTGTTATGTGCTGTCCAGGCTGAACTGACTCATAGCTGACCCTCCAGCAGGTTTTCAGAGCCTGTACATCACACAAGGAGAGATTATTCATATGTCTCCCACAGAGCAGCTGGTGGGTTTGAACTGCCTGCCTTTGAGGTGGTAGCTCAACTCTTTACTGTAGGTGCCATAAAGTATGACTCATAATGACCCTATGAACAATAGATCTGAACCTGTCTTATCCCATGTCATCCTCACAGTCTCTGACATACTTGAGCCCATGAGTCAACTGTTCTGGTTGAGGGTCTTCCTCTCTTTCACTGACCTTCCACTTTTCTAAGCTTAATGTCCCTCTCCAAGAAATCATCTCTCCAAGCAACATGACCAAAGTATGTGAGATGAAACTTTGTCATCTTTGGCTCCAAGGAGCATTCTAGATGCACTCTTTCTAATAAATATTTGTTCTTTTGGAAGTCCATGATACATTCAGTAATCTCCAAAACCACAGCTGAAAGCCATAATTCTTTTCCTCTTCACCCTTAATAATTGTTCAGCTCTCAGATGCATAGCAAGTGATTGAAAAGACCAATAGGCCACCATGTGTTTTTCAGTTAGATCTAGTGGTAACAGAGTAATCTGTTTGGGTTTTGTGTTGTTTTGTTTGTTTGTTTGTTTGTTTTCAGGTTCACACGTTATACAGCCTTTAGAAGTGATAACACATATTACAAATAGGACTATAGCTTCCCAAGGGAATTGAAAGGCTAAAAATAATGCTAGGCACTATTAGGTTAGGATCTAGGGAGCTCTAATGGCCTAGTGGCAAGGAGCTGCACTGCAATCCCAAAGACACACAGTTTGAATCAATTAGAAGTTCCACAGGAAAAAGTTGGGCAATCCCCTCCTCTGTGATTAACTGCTTCTGGAGGATCATGTATGGTCAATTCCAATTCAATGGTAGACATCAACAACAACTACTGAGTTAGCTCAGACACATAAGTTTGTGCAATAAAATAAATCTTGTCCAGTACTGTACCAGTTTTATAACCTCTGCTGTGCTTAATCCTATTGTTGAAATCACTGTGCCAATCTATCACATTGAGTATTTTTCTCTCTTACTGACCCTCTACTTTTTTATCATTTATTTTTTCTTCTTTTTTATTATGCAGATGTTTTTTTACCTCCACTTTCCTTCATTGACATTATATTTTATTCACATACATTGTATTTTATAAAATTAGTCACCACCATTATCCTGTCTTTTCAGGTTCCCATCAGATATTTCTGCATTTCTTTTACTCCCTTCCTCTACTCACCAAATTGTGCAAACCAATGACTTCCCCCCAATCCATCCTTACCCCTCTGCTCCCATTCCTTCCTCCCTTGGATCCTCATACACATTTTACTAGTTACCCCTCTATTTTTACAATAATGATCTTATGAAGTATTTGTCCTTATGAGTCTGAGCTGGTTCACTTAACATAATGCTTTCCAGTATCTCCCAAATTATGTAGGTTTGTTGTCTTCTTTTAAAATGTTGCTCCTGACTGCTGCATAGTATTTCATTGTGGGAATGTACAATTCCTCAATCTATTCTGTTGTGGTTGGACGTTTGCGCTGTTTCCGTGTTCTTGTGATAGTGAATAATGCTGCTATGAACATTGGTGTACAAATCTCTGTTTGTGTCTCAGTTCTAATTTCCTTGTGGTGACCCTCTTCTTTTACAAGCATTTTCTTACTCCAGCGACTGATCTCTCCAGATAATGTAGCTAAAATAAATGAGACAAAGTTCCACCATCCTTGATTCTAAGGAGAATTCTGGCTGTGCAGATCTTTAGGACAAGTTTGTTCTTCTTGGCAATCCTTTATAGATTTAGTAGTCTCTGATAACACCACAAGTCAAAGGCTTCAACTACTCTTCAATCCTGCTTATCCGTTGCCCAAATGTGACATGCATATGAAGCATTTGAATGTCCTCTTAGCTTAGGCCATGTGAACCTTAGTCTTTAAAGTGACATTCTTGCTTTTTAGAATTTTAAAGACATCATTTGTTTTCTTGACTCTAGCTATGATGGGTGTTAATTGTGAATCCAAATAAATTTAACCTCTAACTTTGCTCCATTTATCATGGTATTTCTTACTGGCCCATTTGTGAGGACTTTTGCCTTCTTTATGTTGAGAAGTAATACATTCTAAAAGCTATGACCTTTATCTTTTTCAGTAATGACGTCAAATCCTCTTCTATTCCAGCAAACAAGGTTATAGTATCTGCATATCATAGATTGTTGATGAATATTCCTCCAATCTTGATGTCACATTGTTCTTATATAGTTAAACTTCTTGAGTTATTTGCTTGTTATACAGATTGAATAAATACAGTGAAAACCTTGCTAAATGTTTGTTCTGATTATGAACTGCACACTATCCCCTTGTTGTATTCACAATTGCTTCTTGGTTCATGTGCAAGTTCTACACAGGTATAATTAAGTGTTCTCTGTTTCCTATTTTTCATAATACTATTCATATTTAGTTTCTTAGCAAAACTCCTCCTCAGTCTTGTGTATTTGTCTTACAGTGCGATTGGTACAGGACAGAGGAGAGTTTAGGGCTGTTGTACATAGGGTCGCTATGAGTCTCAAGCGACTTGACGGCACATAACAACAACAACAGCATCTCTTTAAGTTTCCATCCTTTTAAAAATTTCTTAATAATGACATTTATAAAAATTATATATGCATACATTTAATAATTTTTATTTATCCCATATTATACTGTAAGCAAAGAGGTTTTTTAATCATAATTGTCTGTGTCTCAGACGTGTTTAGCACATAGTCTAAACTCCTGAAGGTTTCATTCAGTAATTGTTTAAGATTATTCTTATTTTTTAATTATTTTTCATTCATGTACACTGGGGTTTTTTTCTACTTCTTTCCTCTATTACCTCCTCCATCTTTCAATCCCCTTTTGTTCCCTCTCCTTCTCTCTTTGTATATCCATGCACATATCGCTGCTTATTCATTTGTTTTTACAATAACAACCTTATATGGTATTTGTTCTTATGTGTCTGAGTTAATTTAATTTAGTCAGCATAATGCTCTCTAGCCTCTCCCATGTTACCCTTCAGTATTTTTTAGTGATTATTAATCAATATTATATAAACAGTATGTCAGTGTCATGTTCAAAATAGATTTCATTGTCTCCTTGCATAAGAACAGCTTTTCTTTCTTAGCTTTCTGTCTTAATGAATGACAGGCAACAAGATTCAGTATTTCACAGACCAAAAAGTCTGAAGATCAACTACAAACCCTTCTTTCTGTTCACTGGGGTTTATACTCTTAGAAACATGAAAGAGAGTCAGTATGGGTTAGATCAGACCTGATGGTTGTATGCTTGGTATTTTGAGTTCAGCAGCCTACAGTTAATCATTTATTGTGGGATGTTTATACAGGCTAATTAGCATTTAAATCTTTTCTCATACTTACATCTGTATTTTAGTTAAAGCCAATATACATTCTCAGTATTTTCTTTTTCTCCCTCACTCAAAAGACTAAATTGCTATCCAGCGGGAGCTGACTTAAAGCTGCCCTTCCAGTAGGTTTTCAGAGACTGTACATAATCACACAGGAATAAATTGTCCATCTTTCTTCCATGGTGGGTTAAAACCGTCCTGATTTGGGTTGGCAACACCCTTTCTGAAGACATCATGAAAAATTGAACATGCAACAATAAATTCTAATAATATAATATTTAGTGAAAAAAGGGTTAAATGTAAAAGATACATGCAGCTATTAAACTACACACAGAGCAAATAAATAAAAGAAACATGAAAATTCGGT